TGATATAGATCCAAACCTGTTCTAATTTTATCCTAAGTACTACATTAATACAGCCTGCCGAAATGCTCAAATGTAGTGCTAGGCTTTCTTTTTGGAGAGCCCAACATGCTTTTCAAACAGTGTAGTAAATGTGCCTATACACAGTATTGGGCAAAAGTCTTAGGTAGGTGTGAAAAAATGCTGTAAATTAAAAATGCTTTCAGAAACAGAAGAGTTCATGGTTTATTTTTTTTCAATGTCAAAATGAAAAGTAAATGAACAGAAGAGAAATCCAAATCAAATCAATATTTGGTGTGGCCACCCTTTGCCTTCAAAACAGCATCAATTCTTCAGTTCTTTTTGGTATACTTGCACACAGTTTTTGAAGGAACTCAGCAGGTAGGTTGTTCCAAACATCTTGGAGAACTAACCATAGATCTTCTGTAAACGTAGACTGCCTCAAACCCATATGTCTCTTCATGTAATCCCAGACAGACTTCACTTCCATCACTTCCAGAATTCCTTCTTTTTTACACTGAAGATTGTTCTTAATGACATTGACTGTATGTTTGGGGTTGTTGTCCTGCTATAGAATACATTTGGGGCCAATCGCATGCCTACCTGATGGTATGGCATGATGGATAGGTGTCTGCAATTCTCAGCATTGAGGACACAATTGATCTTGACCAAATCTCCAACTCCACTTGTAGAAATGCAGCCCCAAACTTGCAAGGAACTTCAGTATTGCCCTGCATATACTCATTATTGTACCGCTCTCCAGCCCTTCGGCGGACATACTGCCTCCTGCTGCAGGCAAATGTTTCAAACTTGGATTCATCAGTCCTGAGCACCTGCTGCAATTTTCTGCACCCCAGTTCCTATGTGCATAGGACATGGAAGCACGGCTAATCTACGCAACAATGCACAAAAACATAGGAATTATACCTGGAATTCAGCTTTCAAAACAATGACCAATGACCAAAATCATTTCAGTTTTCCTTTAGTAAATGAAAGATGCAATGAGGAACAAAAGATATCTCTTGCTGGATAGATATTAGGAAACTCAGTGCAGAGGTTCTCTAAAGTTGAACATACAGTAGTAGACTTGCATTCAAAAATGTTCGTTTTTGGAATGTTCATTTGATTTCATTGGACAACAAACATTTTGCTTCCTGAACACTTTTTGGTGTATCTTATAGATTTTTGACTGCTAATAATGTAACCACTATAAATGTACCATTTAAAAAAAAATCTTTTGTTTTTGCGATTTGCAATACCTGTTGCCTATGTTGAACATATGAAACACAAAAAACATGGAAACATGGAACTGTTGTTAAAGCACATCCAGTAAATCAAGTACTGGAACATCTGTAGAGATCTGAAAGTAGTGGATCTGCCTCTTGGAATGCAGATTGGTTATACCAAGTACTGTTGCTACATATTGGAAGGGGACAGCTGTGCAAGAGAGTTGCATTACATTAAAAAGAAATGGTCACTTTGACAAAATTTGGTTCCAGAACACAAAACTGTGGCAGATGAACCACTTATTAACCCGACAAAAATATTTCTGCATCCATTTCACAATAAAAAAAATTGATGAAAGCAACAGACAAGGAAGGTGGAGTTTTTGTTATTTGAGACAGATGTTTCCAAGAATAACTGATGCCAAGATTAAAGTGGTTGTAAACCCTCACATATATCCAGTGAGGTGACTGGCCTCAGGTGATACACAAAGATTAAATAAATCCTCCTACACAAGTTGTACCTGTTTATCTATAGCTCTGTCCTTTCAAGCCTTATAAAACAAACAGAGGGTGGGGATCTGATGTCACACACACTGCAGAGCTACAGCACACAGCTCTATGAAATCTGATTGGGGGGGAAGGAACACACACCCTTCTTAACAAGCACAGAGAAACATAGTGCTATGGAGTTGATTTACCCTAGGTTCACATCTGTGCGGATGCTGCCGCTGCGGATCCGCACAAAAATCCGTGCAGCCGCACCACCCGCATAGAGAGTTGCGGACCCACAGGCGGGTGTCATTAGTTCTAATGGCACGCCACCCGCACTAGAAAACGCAACCGTACTGGGAACCGAGGTTCCTGTGCGGGCTGCATTTTCCAAAGAAGTGCAGGGACTTCTTTCCCTGTGTGTCACGGGGCACGGGAGTCCATTCAAATGAATGGGCTCTTGTTCACATGCAAAACACGGCCTGCATGGCCGCATAGATGTGAACCAGGGGTTACTAGAACTGGAGACTGCAAAATCTGGTGCAGCTGTGCATTGTGGTTAATCAGCTTCTAACATCAGCTTGCTCAGTTGAGTTTGACAAAAAAAAAATGGAAGCTTAATGGCTCCTATGCAGAGCAGCTCTAGATTTTGCAGTCTCCATTTTTAGTAAATCAGCCCCTATATGTCATCTGCTGTGTGGTGGGGGGGATTCTCCCAGGAGAACAAGGAGTTGCTAAATCTATTAGGAACAAGTCATGCAGACAGCAGAGAGAGGAGAGATCAGAGGGAAACTAGACCGGTGCTTTGGATTCAGATTAGTACACACAATAGTGCGATGTGCTTTATTCATATTTTGTTTCAGAGGTTTATAGCATTTTTGTTGGACTGACTGTAGAAATGGAGATACGCCCCCAAAACACGTGTCCGGTATATGAATTGTGGAAGTGACCCGTGATTCAGAAGGATGTCGTATACCTTTCTTCAGAGCCCAGGAAGGGATTGGTAGACGCACAGAGTTGGAGTGCACTGTCTTGCAAGCTTACTGGTTTACAGTACAGAGAGGAAGGATTCTATTGGCGTTTACCAGGTTGTTGTCTCTGGCCAAGACTATAGTCACACATCTGTGGCAGGCTGTGTAAGGTGCAAAGCTTTTATTGCACTAGTGGTGCACTTCCCTTTTATTACCTCTATTTTTGTTAGACCACAGACCAGATATATCATCAATGACAAGTGGTTCAAAAATCTGTTAATGGGGCTACAGAAAATAACATGTAAAGCATACAAGGATGTCATTGAGAATTTTCTTATCAACTAGCGTGCATCAAATTACATTCAGCTAGTTGACAAACTTCTTACAGCATACAAGACCATGAAGTGCAAATTGTCACTGAAGATTCATTTTCTGCATTCACACTTGGACTTCGCTCCCCAAAGTTTTCAACTATAGTGACAAGAACACTTGAAGGAGCAGGATAGACATTTTTTCTCATATTATCTAATTTTTAATAGCATATTTTTTTTTGGTTTGGAAAATGACATTTATTCCATTGGATGTTAAAGGCAAATGAAAATTTTGAAGTACTTTCAAACAACATTCGCTAAGTCTTTGCAGGCATTATTAAATGTACTAATGAGACTTTTTGTATGAACTTTCGTTTGAAAATCTACCAGTGTATGGTAAGCTTAAAATATATAAGGTGCAGTTTGTGACTGTTCCTTCCACCATCTAGCAATAAATGAGAATCAGCTTTAGGTGGCCTGATCTTCTAAAATAACAAATCTGGCATTGCATTCAATACCAATTTGCGAGGAGTTAATGCAGTGTTAAGCACCTGGTAATGTTTTGCAAATGGCAGTAACTCCCTGCAAACTGAGTTACTGGCACTTTCATCTAATAAAATACGCCAGCTCACATATGGCATTTCCTGTACTTCTTGCAGCGACGGCATTTTACGTTCAGCAACCATTCTATAGACAATTACAGATATTTACTAAATGGTATATTTCTCTAAACTGCACTGAAATTTTGTTGAATCATTGGATGGTTTATAGAAGACCAAAAACTACAATTTTTAAGAAGTTACAGTAACTTCCTCTAGAACAGTGGTTCTCAACCTTCCTAATGCCGTGACCCTTTAATACAGTTCCTCATGTTGTGATGAGCCCCAACCATAAAATTATTTACCCAGTAATTATAATTCATGCGTGTCGTTTTACCTCCAATACTGCTGCTTTCAACACAGTAGCTGCTTTTAACAGAGTAGCTGCTTTCAACACAGCAGCTGCTTTCTACACAGTAGCTGCTCTTTACACATCGGAAATATGTGTTTTCTGATGGTCATAGGGGACCCCTGTGAAAGGGTCATTCGACCCCCAAAGGGGTCGCGACCCACAGGTTGAGAACCACTGCTCTAGAACATTTGTTATACCTGATTATTTATTTAATTTTTTTCAGGTACTTATATAATGCTGTCAATTTGTGCAGCACTTTACATATATATTGTTCATTCACATCAGTCCCTAACCCTCAAAGGAGTGTCCAATCTAAGGTTCCTAACTCACATTTATACACAAACTAGGGCCAATTTAGACAGGATCCGTTTAACCTACCAGCATGCTTTGGAGTATGCGAGGAAACCAGTGTAAACCCAAACAAGCACAGGGAGAACAGACAAACTCCAGGCAGGTGGTGCCATGGTTGGGATTTGAACCAATGACCCTAGTACTGCCAGAAAGAAGTACTAACCATTTAGCCACTGTTCTGCCCGATTAGGATGGCTGTGAATTTATTTGCATAAATAAAATCTATGAGGAAATAATCTGAAGAAAAGGACAACCGTCACCTTATCACCAAAAATGTATTACATTGAGAAGGAGTTTAAGACAGACATGGAAAGGTTCTGTTTGCAAGTTACATTTAAAAGAAAAGTATGGGAAAAGCCTTTTTGGTCATACTTCTTTTGTGGGTAAGAATAAGCCTGAAGTGGGCTGCAGCCTGCTGTCAGCTGACGTCAAAGAGCCACACCAGACTCTGGAGGGATCCCGACAATAATGTTGGGATTCACTCAGATGTCTGATCGGCAACTGGCTCAGCCTCTCAGTGCGCTGCTCCTGCTCTCTTCCCAGCGACTGACAAACACTGCTCTGTACTCAAAGTGGACCTAGAACTGAGCATTCAGTTGTCACGATTGCTCAGTTCTCAGGCTTTGAGCCAGCAGGGTCAGTTGCAGTATCAGACAGATATACTGTAGGTAAGTATGTGTGTTGTCTTGTTGTTTCCCAAACCTCTCCTTTAACGACTTGCCGTCCGCCTGCTGTTTATAAACGGCAGGACGGTGGCACTCCAGGGGCGGGTTGCCGTACATTTCTAGCTGTGCACGCTCCCTGGGAGCACGCAGCACCGCGTTTCGGTGCCCGTTGTGTCCTCCGGACACAGTGAAACACCGATCGTCGGACGGGACCTCTGTACGAGGTCCCGATCATGTGATCATTGATAGGCCAATCAGTGATCACATGCAAAGTAGTAAGCAAGATGTCACTTGTGACATCATTGCTTACTACGTGTGAAATCTGTGAATGATCACAGAGGTCACATGGTGCAAGGCTATTCACAACAGCCTTGTACCATGTGACAAGCTGTGACCAATCACAGCTCACTCAGTATTTCTCAATGGCTGCAAGAATGCAGACAGAGAGAAAGAGAAATTATTGCTTTTACATCCTATATGGGTGTAAAAGCAATCACTGTAAAAAAAAAAAAAAAATCTTCATCACCCCCCACAGGTAGTACAGTGTCACCATGGTGACACAGTACTGCTAGGGTGACAGTATGTAAAAAAAAAAAAAAAAAAAAAAACATAAATAATAATATAAAAAAATAAAATAAAAATGTAAAAAAAATGTTTAAAATTATAATTTTTGGTTATAAACTAGTTTGGCTTATTATTTTTTTTACTAAAAAGATAACGGAATACATTTCGGCCAAGATTTATGATGAAAGATTATATATTTGCAAAATTTTATAAGAAAAACACTTTTTTAAAACATTTTTGGACTTTTCATTTACATAGCAAAAAATAAAAAATCCCAGCGGTGAATAAATACCACCAAAATAAAGCTTTATCTGTCTCAAAAAAATGGTAAAAAATTCATATGGGTACAGTGTTGCATGACTGCGCAATTGTCACTCAAAGTGTGATAGTGCTGAAAGCTGAAAATTGCCCTGGGGGTAAAAGTGTCCGGACAGGAAGTGGTTAACCTCTCTGGCGGTATTCTCAACTGTAGCTCGGGGTTAACTTTCAGTACCAAAAGCGGTAACCCCGAGCTACACTTGGGAATACCTTGCAGCGCTGCTCCGGGATCCCTGTTGCACTTACCTTGTCCTTCACTCCTGCGATGTCCCCCCTGCAGCGTCCCCGGCCATCTCCTCCGGCCGATGCCGGCATCTGAATTCCGGGTTCCGGTCCCTGCGAGAGTCGGGACGTACGAGACGTATGGGGGACGGAACCAGCGGGAAATTAAAAAATGTTAAAAGTGACATTCACTCAATACACCAAAATCTCATGATATAACATTACTGTCTCAACCATTTCACATACATTTTGTCCCGAGTGCTTTGTCCTGTGCCCTGCCTGCATTTTTACTGTTCTTTCTGCCTGGAAACTGAGAAAAATCCAAAAAGCGTCCCTTTAGGTCAAAAGCGGTTTTAGACCAGCTAGAGAACAGCGATAGTAAATCAGAACCACTTGCAGAATTGAGTGATAATGATTCGTGGGGAAATTCATCATCAGACACTGAAAATGATTTTGCAACTAAGCTCAGTGATGTGCGATCTTGGCGCTATAGATCAAATTTCAGTGTTTTTGTTTTGATTATATTATTGAATTAAATTTTTTATTATTATTATTATTATTATATTTTTTTTTATGATTATTTATTATATTATAATTTATGATTTTGTGTTTCAAATTTTATCCTACCCGGGACGTTTACTAGACTCTTGTTCAGACAGATTTCAGTGAGTTATTCCTAAAAATGACTGGCTTACAATAAAAAAACAACATATTTCCATGCAAAAAAATGTACCGCTTTGAGCACAGAAATATTGACATAATCATACCGCTAGGGAGGTTAAAAGGGAACATTCACCTTTCCATGAAAAATGAAAAGGTGAGCTAACCGCAAATATCCTGGCCACTTATACACAACCCCATAGTGAGTATCCATTTTAATGCTCGCAATTGCAAGGACTTATTGGTCAGTGCAGCCACATGAATGTGCTGACCAATGAGAAGTGCATCTGAGGATTCTTCCTATCCACCTAATCACTGCATAATGCAACATATAACTATAACTCAAAGCCAAAATGAACTTTCAGTTTAAATCAAGTGAATATGTTCCATGTTTATCAAAACAAAAATGTGCAAAGCCTTACAATTTGTTTTAACTAAAAGCCACATCCCGAGTAGAAAATTCTGTTTCCTGCCAGCATGCTGCAGAGAAGGACACTTAATCTTTGTTCAGAAGCAGTGGTCTCTCTGCAGAGCTCCAACACACCCCCTTTGAGCAATAGCTCTCAAATTAGTAGGGAGCAGGAGTTTTGCTGATTGCAGAGCTACAGGTCTAAAGCCTGGTACACACGGAGGTCTCTGTATCAATGATGTGATTTTAATACACTGATCTCCCAGCTGAGCTACTGCGTTCTAACAGGGGGAAGGAGGACAGGGGGATTGGGGAACTACACCCTCCCTCCCCCCAGAACACACTGGTCAGTAATCACAGCCGATTGGCTGCTAGCTTTCCAGCAAGTTTGTTCGACAGAAGTCGCCCGAGAAATGGGCTTCAGTCAAACAAGGACCCATACACACGGGCTGGATGTAGGACGGTATCTACAGCACTGGCTGTTTTTGGCTGATATTTGGGCCATGTGACCACTGTTATTATATAGAGATCAATGGCTCTTGTCTGCATAATGCTGACAGGGGAAAGACTTTTCTACTCCAACTATGGCTGCTTTCTAAAGAAAATTAACTGTAATACTGCACAATGGCTAAATGGTTAGCACTTCCACCAGGCAATTCTAGGGTCGTTGGTTTGAATCACAACCACGGCACCACCTACCTGAAGTTTGCATGTTCTCCCTGTGCCTGCATGGGTTTCCTCCGGGTGCTCCAGTTTCCTCCTACCCTCCAAAGACATGCTGGTAGGTTAATTGGCTCCTGTCTAAATTGTCCCTAGTATGTGTATGTATGAATTTGAGTTAGGGACCTTAGATTGTACGCCCCTTGAGGGTAAGGGACTGATGTGAATGTACAATATATATATGTAAAGCGCTGCATAAATTGACAGTGCTATATAAGTACCTGAAATAAATAAATATGTTGCATAACATTTGAATGCACCTGGAATGCATTTAGCTAATTTAAAATGAGCTATTGGGCTTCAAAAAGCTATATACTAAAAAAAATGAGACAAGAAGAATATTTACTGTTACCCATAGCAACCAACCAGCTTCCAGGTGTAATTTCTGCAGCATAAACGTGAAAATAAAACAAGGATTCTGATAAAATACTGAAAAGAAATGTTTTTGTTTGCACACTTTTCATACATAAGCTCTATTGCGCTGACTATGATACATATGTACAGCTACTGAAATATAACGGCATTACTAAACAAATCCAAGCCTGCAACAGTAATATCTACCCAAGACATAGGCACACCTTTGCTCACCACTTGTCAGACGACATTGTATGTTGATAACAAAGCTAAAATATCAATACAAACCATCTAAAAACACATTTCTGTAAGTTTGGATTACCCGTTCTCTACTCCCCTTAATGTAATAATGAATTATTGAAAAATCTGCAGACAGATTTCAAATACGCACACAAGACAACCCAACCCCACTCCTGAAGCAGGAGCATCCTCTACAGAGACGGGCTTGAAAATAAATCCTAAAAGAACAGAAAGACTGTTACCTAGCAACAAGAAAAGTTTCTGCCAAAAACAGCATCACTGGCATATAGGGTACCCAAACTTTTGCACATGGCACATTTCCCGTCTGTCATAGAAAAGTGTAATGTCATTTCGGGAATGTCTATTTTGGGACAGTTTACCTTTTAATCTCATTTCTGAATGCGCTTCACATTTCTCCAATCTTGGATTTGTATATATGTTTTATTCCAATATAGAGAAATGTAGATTGTGCACCAGAGAGCGCCCTCAGTGGCTCAGTGTAAGTGACGTCTTCACTGCTGAGATAAGACATCAGCCTCATAGGGAGTGTATTGTCTTCAATGCATATCGTGAAACGCAAAGCAAACCCCTTTTTTTGCGCCGCAGAAAGACAGCCTGCGTGGTGAAGTTTAATTAATATTTTCACTTAAAGTGACTTTATACAGTATCCAAAAGCTGGCCGAAGGTGGAACAAAATACGTCTGGTTTAGCATGGACTAAATGAGTTTTGAGTGAGTTTCAGCATGCGGCCATCCATGTTCCACAGAAGTCCATCAAACCAAAATCCTGGAAAACCTTTCTTGTTCAGCAGCTGCAACCCTAAATAATCCATACACATCCACTACTTAAGGACCCTGTAATCGATTTTCTGTGTTTTTCTTCCCCTTTAAAATGCCCTCTGTGAGCACTTAAACTTCTCCTATTCCCCCTCTCTTCTTTTTGTTTGGAATGAGTAGTGCACGTTAGTTGCAGCCATATGCACACTACAAATCCCATAGTCCATATTTCCCAGTTTATCTCAGGATCAAGTAAGATAGGGTGGCTACATTTTTACACACAATGAAAAGGAACATAGCCACAGATCACAGCACCAAAAAAAAAAAAAGACATTTGGAGATTTGGAGAAGGCTGAGTGCAATAGAAAATACCTTAAGTCTAGGTTTACACTTGTGCGGTGCAGGACACCCCATGTGATTCATATAGGAATCGCACTACATTCCTATGTATATCACATGCGGTGCCTGCGGTGCAATTTGAGCCATACATTTTGTATGGCTCAAATCCAAAATCCAATTGCATCCACACCAAAATGGTTCCGGACCCTTTTTTTTCCCACACCTGAATCGCACAGCATGGTGTGAACACCCATGCGATCCGATTTTTGGCATCTGCACTTCATTTTCCGATCTGTTTTGGAGTGTCGTTAATCAACGTTGCCACCCACAGCAGATCGCATAAACGGTGTGCAATTAGAATGCAGTGTGGGAAACGCACAGCATTTGCTGCATTTCATCAGTGTGAACCAGGTCTAAGAGTTAAGAATACATGTTTGTTTATACACAGTGCTTAAAAAATATAAAGGAACACTTTTTAATCAGAGTATAGCATCAAGTCAATTAAACTCCTGGGATATGGTCAGTTAGGCCCCTTTCATGTATGTCCGTTTTTCATCTGTCCTTTTACATGTATTTCTATGGACTTGCAGATGTAAATGGATAAACATCCGTTAATGTCTGCATCCGTTAACATCCTATTTTTCTTCTGCAAAAAAAACCCGGAATGGACGAAAACCCGATGTCAATGGATGTAAACGGACCAAAAAAAGGATGCAAACAGACCAAATAAGGATGTAAATGGATGTAAACGGA